AATTAACAAACAATTTCCCCTCTTCCACAAATTATCAATCGTCAGTATCTTACCCCATACAGGGGTCCGTACAAAGAATGCCACCCTAGTTGGAGCAATAGAACGCCAATTGGTCATCCACGGAAAGTCAAAGCTATCAAAATTAGACAGACATAAGAACAAAGATCTTACTTCGAAACGACCGTGGGAAGAGGGAATCCATGTCCGATCGTCACAACCTCTGCCAACTCCCTCCTGCCAATACAACTGATCTAGAAAAACATATACCTCATCCAACTCCCAATCTTGAAAGGAACGCCGAAAATGCACGTCCTACGTAATCCCACTACTATCAAGCCGATAATAGTCAGCTACATAGGCATGTCTGTCAACTGCAATACTGTATAATCTGGAAAATGTACGAGATAATGGCTGATCACCACACCAAAGATCTTCCCAGAAACGAACGCATCTGCCGTCACGAACTTTGAATCTGGTATGAGAGGAGAAGACATCCCATCCCTTCCGGATGGATTTCCACACCCCGACTCCTCCCACAAGAGAAACTAGACGGGTAGACCAGCCGCCACCAATCTCTTCCCCAAACCGACATGAGACTAGCCTTCGCCAAGGACGATGTCTTTCCCTCCCGTATCTCCACAACCATTTAACCAGGAGAGCTTGATTAAAAGAAACCAATCTTCTAATACCAAGACCACCCAACTTCATGGGCTTGCAAACTTGCTCCCATCTGACAAGATGAAACTTAAAACTCTAGAAAAAATATTACAGTGTTACTACAAACAATGTTGTTTTAGAGAGGAGGGGGGGGGGGGGGGCTACAAAATGTGATGACCTAGACAAGAACCATGGGAGTAAGGAGGAAAAGTAGACTAGTCAATGAGATATGTGATGAAGGTAAGTAAACCATTTGTCTTATGTGTGAGTTCAGTTCATTATCCTTGGCCTTGTGCATATGCAAAGGGCTCTATTTATAGTCTCAGCTTGCTGCTCGGTCGCCTGACTCTTGAGAGTTGCTTTTTGGATCTAGAGCCTACCAAGCTAGGCCCGTCATCATGACCCCTCTAGGTGCAATAGGGCTCACATGGTTATTTGGCTCGAGGAGATGCTACTTTGCATTAAATGCATCCCCTTAGAAAGCGGCAGTAGCTGAGCGGATTAAATGTGATTGTAAGTGTTACAGTCGAGGCATGTGGTTTCATCTCATTGACTAGGCCAATAGGCCCCGCGAGCTCTAGCATCTCATCCTCCAAACCCTTCCAGATTACCGGATAAGAGACATAGGCCCTCAAGACCATCTTACCTTGGTCTCGAGATGGGTCTATTCCTTGTAGGAGGTGTCCCTGAGCACCCTTATGCAGGTGCCACTCTCACGACTGCAAGGTGGTCTTGCAACATAGTCTTGCTGGAAGAGAATTATGATCGCGTTATTCAGGAAAAAAAAAAAAAGAATTATGATCGCGTGCTCGAGCTTGACCAGTGCCATGCTGTTATGCCACATGGATCTGTGGGAGATCCACCCCCTACAAGCCCTTAAAACAGATGGGATAATAAAGGATTTGTAATCAAATGGTATCTCTTTAATTTGTCAGAGGCGTAAGTTTTCATAGTGTTAATTATGTAGGTGTGATATTTGTCATGCAAAAAAATAAAAGAAAAAATAAAATCGTACGACCTGAAAGTATTCCTAGTGATCAATGACCTGATTTGATAAAAATATATAAATAATGAATTGATACTTTTATGATATAAATTTAAGATAGATTCGAATAAATAATAATCCTATTCTATTACTCATCAAAAATGATAATACTCCTATCCTATTAGCTAAACTTTTTCTTAATAAGTAATAATTAAATAAAAAGGCGTTCAAGAGGAAAACGCGTCCCTTATACAAAAGTGGAACTGGGGTCTAAGGCCCCAAAGAATCCAAAAAAAACGATTAAATCATCAAAAGAGGAACAGGACTTCTTCTTCACGTAACTGAAAAGAGAGCGACAAATATGAAGTTTTAGCGTCACCGTGGACGACTCTTTCCCTTCGAACATTCTACTATTCCTCTCCTTCCATATGCACCACCAAACACCACTTCTCACACGACATCCTCTCCAAACATGAACCAAGTTCTTAGAAGAACGAGACATTACCCAACGCATACCAAACAAACCAAAAATAAGATTCCAGTAGTCGCTCGCTACGGGGCAATGCATGAGGATATGATCAACTGATTCACCGTCTTGTTTGCATAGGCAACACCAGTTAACAAAACAGTTACCCCTTTTCCTTAAATTATCAATTGTCAGGATCTTATCTCATACAGCGGTCCATACAAAGAATGTCCCCCTAGTTGGAGCCATAGAAAGCCAGATGGTCTTCCACGGAAAATCAATGATATCAAAATTAGATAGACATAAGAATAAGGAACGAACTTCGAAGCGACCATGGGAAGAGAGAATCCATGTCAAATCGTCACTACCTCTGCCAACTGCCTCCTGTCGATACAACAAATCCAGAAAAACAAATACCTCGTCCAACTCAATCCTGAAAAGAACGCCGAAAGTGCACGTCCCACGTAATCCCAATACTATCAAGCCGATAACAATCAACTACGTAGGCATGTCTATCAACTGCAACACTGTATAATCTGGGAAATGTACGAGATAAAAGCTGGTCACCGCACCAAAGATCCTCCTAGAAACGAACACATCTGCCGTCACGAACTTTGAATCTGATGTGAGAAGAGAAAGCATCCTATCCCTTCCAAATGTTCTTCATTTGTGGAAGTAAAATGACCTCTCCCTCTCTCTCTCACACACACAAACACACACACACACACATATATATCATGTAATTGTGTGTTTTTCATCTCTCTTCTTTTTTTATCCGAAAAAAATATATCTTAAATTTATATCATGAAAAGTAGTGATAGTCTAAGTTGGAAAGAAATAAACACTGACCAGCAATTCACCTAAAGCAACTGGTTCAGTCTCACTATTAGTGTACATAATATTATTAAATACATGAAAAAAAAAAAAAAAGGAACATTATTACGTCTATATGGTGAAGATAAGTTTCTTTTCAAATAAATAATAATAATCGATAATATTGTGTTAGGGATGAAGCAATAATTTTATGTGTATGGTTATTCGGAGTATTTGAGAGAGAGATGGAGAGAGAAGAAGAAGATGAAGAGTTTAGAGAGAGAGAGAGAAAAGAATACATACCACGGTGGTGAGAGCAGTTTTGCCGGAAACGAAGAGAAAGAGGTCTGAAGTGGATTGTGTGGTGAAATAGTTAGGAATGATGTAGGAATAATGGTTGTGTTAGGGATGAAGCAACAATTTTATGTTTATGGCTATTTGGAGTATTTGAAAAAATAAGATAAAATACATAAATAAAAATAAAGACTTTAGAGAGAGAGAGAGAGCGAGCGAGAGAGGAGTATGTACCACAATGGTGTGAGCAAGTTTGCCGGTGACAGGAAGAGAAATAGGCCTGAAGAGGATTATGTGGTGACATAAGTTATGAATAATGTAGGAATAATGATTGGTTAATTAGTAGTTAATAGAGTTTGAGAGTAAAGATGATATATAATTCTTAGTACTCTGAATTTTGAAATAAGAGTTTAGAATTATAGTTCATATAGAATTCTTTTTTTTTTTTTGATAAGTAATAATAAAATAAAAAGGAGTTCAAGAGGGGAACGCATCCCTTATACAAAAGTGGAACCAGGGTCTAAGGCCCCAAAAAATCCAAAAAAATGATTAAATCATCGGAAGAGGAACAGGACTTCCTCTCCACGTAACTGAAAAGAGAGCGAAGGATATGAAGTTTCAGCGTCGCCGTAGACGACTCTTTCCCTTCGAACATTCTACTATTTCTCTCCTTCCATATGCACCACCAAACACAACGTGGGACAACTCTCCAACAATCTCGTACACCACTTCTCACACGACATCCTCTCCAAGGGTGAACCAAGTCCTTAGAAGAACGAGGCATAACCCAACGCATACCAAACAAACCAAAAATAAGATTCCAGCAATCACTCGCCACGGGGCAATGCATGAGGATATGATCAACTGACTCTCCGTCTCGTTTGCATAGGCAACACCAGTTAACAAAACAGTTATCCCTTTTGCTTAAATTATCTATCATCAGGATCTTACCCCATACAGCAGTCCATACAAAGAATGCCACCCTAGTTGGAGCCATAGAACGCCAGATGGTCTTCCACGTAAAATCAATGATATCAAAATTAGATAGACATAAGAATAAGGAACGAACTTCGAAGTGACCATGGGAAGAATTCTTAGGGGTGACGAATTTTGATAAAACTAAATGATTTGAAACTCTTTACACGTTTAATAATGGCATAGATATATCAAAACCATATTGCAATGGTTAGTGTCAATTTTAATAGACACATCAATGGAGAAACTGCCCATGCCTTCTTCAAAAGAATAAACCACCCTCTCTTTCAGTAAACATTTTGACATCAGGTTAGTAATTAGTAGTCCTCAGTTTTACTAAATAATTTTCATCAATTGTTACAGTATCAACACATCATTAACTCCATGGTATGAAGAGAAACTGGACATGGTTTTCCCGAATTCAATATTCTAACAACAATTTTCTACTCATCCAACGAAAGATAAAACATCTATCTGTTTCAAGTTAAATTTTTTGGTGTTCTATTGACTCTCTTATAAACTTATGGAGTATTGGCCAGGGATCATAACTCCTTACTGTAGTCAGTCATCACTGTTTTTGCTCTAACGTGGTACTTCCACTCCAAAATTGCTCATGAAACTAAATGATACAAAGCTTAAAACTAATTATCCAAAAGTGTCTTAAGCATATAAAGCAAATATAAAAACATCTTTCTTTACAAATATTTGTTATATTAAAACTTTAAAACATAAAAAATAACTTATTTATCAGAAATTAGCACCAACAAAAGGAAAAAAAAATATATTTATATAATAAAAGTTGAAAATTACTTTGAAGCGCATATAACTTTTTCGCAAACTTTCGAAGAGTTTGAACCTTCTTCTCTCGAGGGAACTGAACTACATTGTCACAGAAATTAACAGACAAATCAAGATCACTTTTAGCACTGAAGATATCCATTAAGAAAGAGCCGAATTCCTCCACAAGAGGAAGGTTATCGGATTTGCCTGAAACAAAAATAGAAGGAAATTATAATTAAATTTTGCAAAAGTGAACACAACTCCAAGTGAATTTGAAATAAGCTATGAAAGAGATAATTTGCAATAAATAGCACATCAAAATACAAAAATGAAGCATAATTTTCTAAATACAGGAGAAACAATAGATAGAATTAGACTTTGTTTTATTTTTTGAAGAAACTCTTGCACAATAAAGAAACTAAATGCAGCACCAGTTTCTAACTTTCTAGAATGGGGATCCCCAAAAATCCAAAAGAAAGGAGCCTAGTAACATGCAATTCAGGATCACAACCAATCAACCCAGCAAACTTCATTAAGATATATTTAAACATATACAAATAAATATGTTAAATGAAAATCTAGTTGGGATCTTGCGGTGTCGCCAAATGATATTAAAGCAAGACATGCCACTAGAATCTTGTTTGTGGGTTACTACTTGAGAAAATAACTATAAGACACAAGTCCAAAGATAAAAACATTGAGTTTTGGTGCCACTGACAGAAGTTCAAGCTTCAGAGCAGTAGCTTCTTTGTGAAATAGAAATATCGAAGGTTAGGTCTGTCTCGAATCCTCCCTCCCTATGATCCTGCAGTAGTGGGACTAGAACAGGACAAAGATGAAAATATTTTAGGAATCAACCGAAGAATTTTTTTCTTCTTTTTTATTTTCCTACAACAGAAGAATTTCAATAGTAACTTGAGTGGATAGAACTGGGCAGAGATGAAATATTTTAGGAGTCAACAGAAGAATTTTTTTCTTCTTTTTTATTTTCCTACAACAGAAGAAATTCAATAGTAGTAACTCAAGACTTATGTAATACCCTCACGAATTAAGGAGGTAGGTGTCAAGTACAAAATTGCTACTAAAAACTGTTAAGGTATGCACAAAGAAGACGAAATAACAGAACTTCCAAAAAAAGAGGAGGAAGGGGGGGGGGGGGTGGGGGAGAGGGGGGAATAAGCTGGAAAAAGAGTTAAAATATAACAATATCCAAAGGGAAAAAGGAAATATGAAAGAAGCTAAGAGGGAGGTAGACACATGTTGTCCACAGAAATTTTACATGTGTTATAGAAAATGAGGATATTTAAGTTCTTCCATGCTAAAGGCCAAACCACTTTCACAATACAAGACAAGCAAGTAACACTTTTTGAAGCTGTCAAACACAAGCAGGCATGTATAGTGCTACAAATATTTCTGATACAGCCATATATTCTATGAGCAGTACCATGTAAAGGCCCAACAAATCATGAAGCTTCTCAAGCACGCCTTCTGTTTCTTCTTTATTTTCCTTTTTTTATGATTTTCTCTTTTATTATTTTGCACTACTAGCAACATCAATTTCTTTTTCTTTTTTTTCATAAGTAAGATTGTATTGAAGTGCACAAAAGGGAGACGCATCCCATAAAAGAAACACGAGGCCAAATGGGGCCTCTAAACACTCAAAGAGCCAAAAATATCAACAATTTCCTCTACAAATTTACAATTTCTCCCTAAAACCGAACAAAAAAGGATAATAGAGAACTTAAGAGTCCCAATAGGAGTCTCCTTTCCTTCAAAAGATCTCCTATTCCTCTCTAACCATAAGCACCACCAAACGGATAAGGGCGAACCCTCCAATAATCACGAACTTGGGCCCCACTGTACACCCTCTCCAAGCCTCCACCAAAACTCTAAAGGACCTAGGCATGACCCAATGAACGCCAAAAGTAAACCCCAACTATCACAGTATCACGAGCCCCAGGGCAATGCAAGAGGAGATGATCCATCGTCTCCTCATTTCTTTTGCACATGCAACACCAATTGACAACTACCTGTCTCCTCCTCAAATTATCCAAGTCAAAATGCTACCCGGCACAACTGTCCGCACAAAAAAACACCACCTTAAGAGGAGCCTTCGATCTCCAAATCATTTTGTTACAACAAATGCAGCGAACCAAGCAACAATTACGTAACACGACAGAAAAATAAACACACCACACAAAAAACACAAAGATTTATATGTGGTTCAGCCGCAAAGCCTACGTCCACGATGGATATCCGGCGAAAGTCTTCACTATATGTAAAATCGGACATTACAAGTTTCAACCCCTCACTCTCTCTGTGTACGATTTTCAATCTCTTTATCATACACTCCAAACCCTAAGCGCCCTTATATATCGGGCTACAAGAGTACTAATTAGGGTTCTCGTACCAAATTCGGGCCACAACATCACACGTTTTTCATAGGAAAAAAACCCCTGGAACATCTAAAAGGCATCTATAAAGAGATCGGACATCAAATCGACCCTGGGGAGAGGGAATCCACACCTTATGATCAAGACCAACACCCGCCACCTACTGGCATACAAATGCTCCAAGAACCCAACAGCCTCCTCTAACTCTCAATCCTGAAAATGCCTCGAAAAGAGCACGTACCAAGTGAATCTCCCACTAACGAGCTGATAGCAGTCAAAAACCATGGCATGCTTGTCCGTAGCAATCCTGAAGAGCCTGGAGAAGGAGGATGCAAGAGAGCAATCCCCACACTAAATATCATCCCAAAATCTAATAACCGTACCATCCCTAACTCCGAATCTGAGATGTTTAGATAATTCATCCCACCCCTTCTGAATGAATTTCCAAACCCCAACTCCACCCAGCCTTCTAACCTCACGGGAGCACCATCCTCCTCAATCCTCCCCGAATTTGCAAACAATCAGTCTCCTCCACAATCTTTTTCTCTCCACACCAAAGCAACATCATTGTTATAGCAATAGAGTCTCATCTCCAATGTCGTCATCTTCTGTTTAACTTTGCTCAACATAACACATGTATCTCTTCTTCTCTTTGGGACATTCCTTCTCTTTCCACTAAGCTTAGATCTCCTATTTTAGAACACTTGGAGGCTAGATCTAAGTAGACGGGTATTACTGAGGAGAAAATCTGTTGAAGAAAGGAAGTGTGGAAAAATCTATGAAAAAAATGGACCTCTTGAATGACAAAAAGATAAACCATAAAATATGTGCATCTAGGAGCTAAACAGTTACTATTTTGGTGTAAAAATATTTGAAACTCAAATAAACAAAGATTCACATTTTAATGAACACTACGGAGTCTTAACCATCTACATAAATGCAAATCGGCAGATCAATTAGTCAAAAATGCATTGTTGTGGTCCAAAGTCATGCATCCTTGAGCTACAACTGAACAGAAAATGCTTAGATCATTCCCAGTTTCAAAGTCCCTCTAATAGTTGTAGATACCAGAAATGTGATCGTTGACCACGTGTGTGCTGACTAGCTAATAAATAATTAATCATTAATTCATTTATTTATTTATGTTAACTTTTCAATCATTTCTTCCTTGGGAAACCCCCATGAGATGCCTCCTTTGGAGATGCCCCGCCCAAGGATGCCCCGTCTAGGGATGCCTTGTCGCTTGGGCCTCACCCTAGAACCACACAAGATGCCACCTTCAAAGATGCACCGCCTAGGGATGCCTCGTTGTCTAGGTCTTCCTTAGGAAAGCCCCACGGGATGCCCCGTCTAGGGATGCCTCATAGCTTGGACCTTCCTTAGGGAACCCCTACAAGATGCCTCCTTCCTAGATGCCCCGCCTAGGGATGCCCCGTACTTTGGGACTTTCTCGAGATGCCTATTTTAGAAATTCTCTAAAACCTTGAGAAGGCACCCCCTCTGGTTTCTCAACCATGGGGCATTGCTTCTTAGGCCCTCTAAAAAATACTCACAAATTATCTTGAACTTCGAAAGAGGATTCTCCCACTCAGGGCCGACACCGAGCCTTATGTCCTCCTTGGAAAATTCTTCATAATTTGCAAGGCCAACACGAGAAACATCAATTATGTGCACGTAACCTTCTATGAAGCTTAGTGTGCAGGGGGGATAAATGTAGATATCGAATATGCGTGCCCCATGTGACTCTTGTCACATCACCAATAATGACCTACTTATCTAAAAGTCAATAGGTCAATGCGCAAATTACGTGGCACATACTACGTCATCTAATCATACAGAAGACCAAAGACTTGAAGACATGAGTTAGGAGCAAGACTCGATGATTTCTAGGATCCGAGGAGGTACTTGGTTTGGTAACCTAACTTGTAGAGAGAGAGACCATTTGACTCCCACGTACCCCATCCCATGTGCCCCATCCACACCCTATCCTTGTCCCCCATTACTTTATATTCTTTTCCTTTTGTTATAATAATAAAACTCAGCATGACATCACCCACCCTCACTGATGCAGGACAAGAGACCAGCCCGAATAGTTGAAACAAATAAGAGTTATGGCTGAAAGTTCAAATGAACAGAATTGGGATTCAGGAGGGGTAGGATTTGAAAATAACAAAAGAATCTATTGGAATTGCACCAACAGGGTCTAGGCATCACACCTAGGGAAGGCATCACACCCTCATATCTTGTGAATCACTCACAAAGAACGTTGAAAGACTTTTTTTATTCATTCATGGTCTGCCTCACCAAGTTTACATCATACCCTTCTTATAGCAATTTATGACCCTTAGATTACCCCATAATTGAAGTAATCAAAAGTTAACTCTAAAGCATAATAAAAGTAACCAATACTGACTTACGCAGTTTGACCATAATTGATGCAGTTTCCCATAACTATGCAGTTTACCATAATTGATGCAATTTGACCAGACCCCCCAATTATGCAAAACTCCAAGCGGACCCCACATCCTCTAGCATTTGCCAGATTAAGGCTTGAGCCTTAGAGCCCTCCTTGCCACACCTTTTATTGATGCAGACCATTAAGGATACTTTAGTCAGGATTCAGGCAGTATGCCTTGGAAAGTGCCTTGAAGAAAAGTTAAAAAGTCATTCTAGTTTTGTGGTAATAATTAATTAAGCTTTGGAATAACTAAGTGTTCACTTAGGGAAGTGGTAAAGTGCATTTAAAGCTGTGTGGGAATTCTAAAAGTCTCTCTAGGAGATGTCAAGTGTCACTAATAGTAGTATTATAAAAGG